GAAACGAGAACCGAGGTGAAAAGAAGAAGGGAAACAAGAGATAACTGAGGAAAAGAGAAAGAGAAAACACGCACACACACGCGCGCGCGCACGCACGCACACACACACACACACACACACACACACACACACACACACACACACACACACACACACACACACACACACACACACACACACACACACACACAGGCAAAAAAACATTACATTTAACAGACAAACGAGAACCAACACACACCTAATTCCAGCAATCTCACTAAACTGGTCCAATTTACGAATGACGGAGGGAAATGCAAGAGAGACCCACCCAGACTGCAGCCCCGTCACACCGTCACACCTACACCACGCGTCACGGGAAGGTCACACGCTCCTCTGCCGTGATTGGCTACGGAGACTACCAATCATCCAAGCATCTGGTGATTGTAACGTGACATAATTGTTACAGGAAACGTCACTTTGGCCGAGCGGTGGAGGCGACGATCGACCGTCACGCAGAAAGGGGGGTGACAGTTGGGATGAATCTCTGGTATAGTGTTACCGTTATGTTATGTTACGTGCTTCGGAGGAGCGGTGACAACAGGTGTTGCATAGGGGGGTGAAGGGGGGGAGGGGTGAGGGAGGGAGAGGACGTTATCTGGTCGCTTTTCATGTGAGATTTTTTTTTTTTTTTTTTTTTTACTTCAAATATATCTTTGGTAATGATTCTGGCAGTGTGGCAGTTCCAGTCTGTCTGTCTATTTATTTATTTTTTTTTTTTTTCTTTCTCGATCTACTAATCTATCTATATCATATCTGACTGATACAGATGGTAGGTATCAGTCTATTCATTCTCTCTCCTTCTTCTTCTTCTTCTTCTTCTTCTTCTTCTTCTTCTTCTTCCATCCCTCTCTCCCTCTCTCTCTCTCTCTCTCTCTCTCTCTCTCTCTCTCTCTCTCTCTCTCTCTCTCTCTCTCTCTCTCTCTCACTCTCTCTTCTTTTACTTTCACCCCATATTCATTTTCTAAATCATTATCTCCACTAGCTCCTATAATACTTTTTTCCATCAACTTCTTGTTTAGAATCCATTAAATTTCATGAAAATCGCGTTCCTGAAATCTGAAATCTGTTTTGATCTCATTTTCGGTCAACTCATCATGTTATTTTCACTTTCCTAAAATGGGGGGAAGGGGGAGCGATGGAGAAGAGGAGGGTGGGGGGGTGGAGGGAGGGGGAAAGGGGGAGCGATGGAGAAGAGGAGGAGGGGGGTGGGGTGGAGGGAAGGGGGAAAGGGGGAAGGGGGTAGAGAGAGGGTGGAGGTGGGGAGGTGGTTAGTGAAGCGGTTTCTCGAGCAAGCAAAGTATCAAAACAACTTAGCAATTAATGTCACGTTACATAGCTGACAACAAAAATATTGTTTGATGGTACTGTTATGTGTGGTTCTGTGTGTGTGTGTGTGTGTGTGTGTGTGTGTGTGTGTGTTTGTTTGTTTGTTTGTTTGTTTGTTTGTTTGTGTATGTGTGTGTGTTGTGATAGGAAGAGAAGAGGAAGGAAATGGCAGTGATGGTGAAGGAGGGGGGGGGCAAGGAAGAAGGGGGAGGGAGGTAAAGGAACGGAAGGGGGAGGGGGAGGGGAGGGGGAGGGGGGAGGGGGAAGAAGTTTCCAACAGATGACTCACGGAAGTGCCCTTCGTCAGCGCACGAGGCAGCCTTCCACACTCTCCCTCTTGGCTGACAGGTGCTGACGCTGACAGCCAGGACGAAGAAATAATGATACAGTGACCATAGTGATGATAGATAGCTCAAAAAAATAGCGAAAAAATGATGAAAATGAATGTCAAGATCGGCTTTTACAGCTAAATAAAGTGAATCAGCCGACTGACATTGGAGTATATGGTTTAAGCACGATGGTTTTGCTTATAGCCAAAGGGAAAAAAATATTAGATGTCAGATGGTCAAAAATGTACTATAACTGATAGCAACGTCACGCCATAAGGTTCAGAAAAGTCCAAAATCCTAGAGACAACTTTCACCATTTTTATAACTACAGGTAAACCGCACTACTCGTAATAATAAAAAAGTAATGGCAGCATAACATTATAAATAAATTCATTTTCATTATAATATATTAAACAAAAACAGTACATAACGTATCATTAATCAGCAGAGAAAGTATGAAATACATATTCGTCATCGGTAAATAACAAGGTAGATATTAAAAAAAAAGATCAAAACAAATGACGATTGAATGTAAACAAACCACGTGACAGCTTGGCGAGAATTCCCACGCCTACCAACAAATATTTACGACGACGACTCATAAAAAAAATTATTTTCCCTTTCGGAGTGCCAGTGAAGAGCAAGGCAGCAAAATGAAAGTGAATTACCAAGAAAGTTAAGAGTACATGAGAAGCGAGCGGGCAGTATGTGGCCAAATGTTACCATCACACACTGTTTCACACACAATGTTCCAGCTGAATTGTTCCAGACGTGGGAAACCCCCTTTTAAAAAGGTTGTTTTTGTTTACGCGTTACATTTGCAGTTTTTTTTTTGCCTATTTCGTAACCATGTTGGGTCATCTGTTTATTAGACAGACAGACACACACACACACACACACACACACACACACACACACACACACACACACACACACACACACACACACACCGTCCGTCCGTCTATGTATAACTAAAAAAATGCTTTCACTGACATGCATTGTATATGAAGAAGGAATACTATCCATCTATCCATCCACACTTCATTACTTCGTGTCAGTCTATTAGTGTGTTCCAGTGCATGTATATATAAGTATTTGCGCTCACCTTGGCATTTCCTCTTTCTCAACACCGAGAAAGGCAACTTAAGAACTCGTTATTAAGTAAATGAACGGGACCTTAAATCGCCTTGATCAACCAGAAGAGTTCATTTTGTAATTACTTTCATATCGCTTTCCTGAATTGTAATAGGATAGGCCTATGGTTAATGTTGGGCCTTTGACAGCTTCCTGATAGGCCTCCCGGCGTTCGTGTCAGGCTCGTGATGGCGTCCGTCTATGTATAACTAAGAAAATGCATTCACTGACATGCATTGTATATGATGAAGGAATACTATCCATCTATCCATCTGCACTTCATTACTTCGTGTCAGTCTATTAGTGTGTTCCAGTGCATGTATATATAAGTATTTGCGCTCACCTTGGCATTTCCTCTTTCTCAACACTGAGAAAGGCAACTTAAGAACTCGTTATTAAGTAAATGAACGGGACCTTAAATCGCCTTGATCAACCAGAAGAGTTCATTTTGTAATTACTTTCATATCGCTTTCCTGAATTGTAATAGATAGGCCTATGGTTAATGTTGGGCCTTTGACAGCTTCCTGATAGGCCTCCCGGCGTTCGTGTCAGGCTCGTGATGGTTATCCCGGGCCTGTTATCAGTCACGTGTCATTATCTATTGACCTGTTTGTTCTTTTGTTCTAAATAGAAAATGCAGATAGTGATAACGACAGTCGGAAAAAATTACATCGTAAAAACACAGAATCTACACACACACACACACACACACACACACACACACACACACACACACACACACACACACACACACACACACACACACACACACACACACACACAGGTAAAAACAAACAGTTTAAAACCTTACACCTTTCTTAAATACCCATACATCCTGTTTTAAGCCTAGGTACCCGTTACCTCCAGGCAGTTGTCCCCCCTCCCCTCCCCTCCCCCCCGTTACACTTTAGCAGTACACCACAGGGGTACCGGAGAGGAATAGGGGGGGGAGTACACCACAGGGGTACCAACGACAGAAACAAGAGGAAGGAGAGAAATGAACTGGGATACCGAAAAAAGGAAGAAGAAAGATGGGAAAGGAGAGGAAGAGGAAGGAGAAAAATAAAAGGGAACGAGGAAGGTGGGAGGAGGGATAGAAGGAGAAGAGAGAAAAGGAGAGGAAAGAGAAAAGGAGGGAGAGAAACGAGAGGTAATCTACACCACATGGAAGACGAAAAGAGAAAAGGAGAATAGAAGGGAAAAGAAGAGCAACATATGGGCATCGGGCATCGCCAACGCCCGTCACGGTAGCTGCGTCGACGGTCCTTCTATGCCAGTCAAGTGCCCAGCAAAAGGAGCTGTTGCCTGGTTCGGTAATTACGTCCCGTGAGGCGATAACAGAAGCTTTTGTGTGTTCCGTTAAGGGGGGGGGGGGGAGGCTTTCGTAGGCATGTAATCCTATTTTTTATAGTTTAGTTTAGGTAGAGAGGTGTGTGTGTGTGTGTGTGTGTGTGTGTGTGTGTGTGTGTGTGTGTGTGTGTGTGTGTGTGTGTGTGTGTGTGTGTGTGTGTGTGTGTGTGTGTGTGTGTGTGTGTGTGTGTGTGTGTGTGTGTGAGAGAGAGAGAGAGAGAGAGAGGGGGGGGGATTTTTGTGATATCTTTGTTATTGTTAGTAATTTTTTTTTTTTTAAGATCACTATTATCTATATCATTATTATCGTTATTTTTGCTAGTCTCAGGACCATGGTAGTGACTGTTATTAATTTGATTCGCGAAAGAGGAAGTGAGTAGCAAGGCGATGAAAGATAAATGGAAGAAAGCAATAATTACAGAAGATGATCATTAATGGGAGACGAATTCCGCGACCATATGTATGCACCCTCAAGGCATATATGTCTCCGGGAGTTTGTCACTCTCATATTTCTCTCTCTCTCTCTCTCTCTCTCTCTCTCTCTCTCTCTCTCTCTCTCTCTCTCTCTCTCTCTCTCTCTCTCTCTCTCTCTCTCTCTCTCTCGTTTTGAAGTGTTTATTTTCTCTCGTTTTGAAGTGTTTTCTCTTATCCTCGTTTTGAAGTGTTCTCTTCTCTCTCTCTCTCTCTCTCTCTCTCTCTCTCTCTCTCTCTCTCTCTCTCTCTCTCTCTCTCTCTCTCTCTCTCTCTCTCTCTCATTCAAGTGTATTTTTATAATTTCTCTTCATATCTCTCTTACATCTGTTTCTCCTTTTGCCCTTTCAGGACGAAACACATACGTCCATGCCGATTTTGGTAAGTGTCTTTCTCTCTTTATTTCTCTCTGTATCCTTAGCTGCCAGTCTGCGTATCTGTATTTCCTTTTTTTACCTCTCCCTGTGTTTATCTCCCTTACTCTTTGTATTTTTTTCGTTCTTTCGGTCTCCCCCCCCCTCTCTCTCCCTCTCCATCACCCTCGCCTTCTCTTTCTCCCCACCTCCTTTCCCTCTCTCTTTCTCTCTTCCTCTCCTCCCCCTCTCCCTCTCCCTCTCCATCACCCTCGCCCTCTCTCTCTCCTTTTCCTTCTCCTTCTCCTTCTCCCTCTCCCTCTCCCTGTACCCTCTAGCTCTTATCATTAACGGCAACTGTTAGGCCTGAGCGGGTACTTAGACATGCTTCAACGGCCAAGGAATGGGCATGAGATATGTGGGTGGTGGAGAGAGGGTACGTAACCCCTCCCCCATGTGCGTGACCGGGGCAGTGTGGCATGGGAGGGACATCTGCTCTCCCCTGCCTTACCCTCCCCTCCCCTCCCCACCCTTTCCCTCCCCTCCTCTTCCCACCTTTCTTCTACCGCTTGCTTGGAACAGGTGTCTGCAGGTGTACCGTTAGGTTGGAGGAAATGCCTTTTTTATTTTTGCTCATGATATTTTTGTTACTATTTTTGTAGCAATGTGGCTTGTTGTATTTGTTGTGTAATGTGTGGTTGTTTTTAGTTTTGGTTTACTTTAATGTGTTATTATTGTTGTTGTTATTGTATTATTATGATTATTGTTGTTATCATCATTGTATTATTATGATTACTGTTGTTATTATCATTATTGTATCATTATTATAATTATTGCTGTTATTACATTGTTATCATTATTATTATTATTATCATGATTATTATCATTATTATTATCATAATCATTATCATCATGATTATTATCATTATTATTATCATGATCATTATCATTACTTCATCGGTTTGTCAAGATATATTATGCCTTGAACCAAACATCCCAATGTTATCTCGAGATCTGCAGTCAGTCCCTAAAAACACCTGTTTAAGCGGAAGGACGGACCTGCAGCAGCCGTAAATAATAAACCGCAAATCTCAGCCTGCCAGGGAGTAACTTCCGCCCACACCCACCCACGCCCACGCACGCCCACTTCTCCTTGTCTTGCGCCCCTCTTGTGTCTCCTCTTTTTGATTGTTGCCTCTCCTTCATTCTTGCTTTTTGCTTCCTACTCCTCCCTCCTACCTCATTTCTCCTTCCTTCTCTCTTCTGCCTCATTCCTCCTCCCTCCTTCCTTCTTCCTCCTGCCTCATCCCTCCTCTCTTCTCCCTCCTCCCTCACTCCCTCCTCCCTCCTGTCCCGTCCCTCCTTCCTCCTCCTTCCTGACTCGCCCCCCACTCCCTTCTCCCTTCCTGCTTCCTACTTTCCTCTCCCGCTCCGGTTTGAAGGAGGCAGATCAGCTGTCACCCTCCGCAAACGTTATGGGAAAACGCTCTTGAGTTCCGGTTCTGTCGCCATCCGGAAGAGATAGGAGACTACGGCCGGTTAACTACCTCCCCTCCCCCGCCTTTCCTACCCCTCCACCTCCCTCCCCCTCTCCCTTCTCCCCCCACCCCACTTTCCCTCTTCCCCTTCCCATTTTTCTTTCTTTTTTCTCTCCCTTTCTTTTCTTCCTTTATCTCCCTTAATTCTCCTACTTATGTCATCCCCCCTCCCTCCTCCCTTCTCATTTACCCCTCCCTGGTCTTCGTCGTCAGTATAAAGCTCAATTTTATATTTCATTTTTCATTTTTACTACATTTTTTTCTTTCTCTTTGTGACACCTCTTTCTGTTCATTATTATATGTGTTTGTTTAATCTACGTTTTTTTTTTTCTTCATAAATTTCTACTCATTTTATTATTAGTTATGCGTTCAAGATCTCTTTTTATTTCGTTGTTAGATGGTTACGAAAAATCACCTTGAAACTTTTGAATCTGTTTATAATTTACATAATCAGGCGTTTTAATTACAAGCATTAATTATGAACATCGAAAACCGTTTTTTTTTTTTTTGTTTTTTTTTTTACACCGAGTGTTGCCATTTCGAGGGCAACACCTTTGTCAACCTGTATGAATTTCAAACAACGAAAGTGGACGAACATCTGCGTTATGAACACGGGGAAAAAAACTCGTAAATTCAGCCGTCGCGCAGTTGGGCCGTTTAGTAGTTTAGTTTCGCGATACGTCATAACAGCGGGGGTTACGTCGGTCTGAGATTGTGACGTCAGAAAGGGAAGGAAAAGAATTTTATTTTATTTGTTTATTTATTTTTTTAGTTTTTTTTTGTTATTTTTTAAAAGTTATTTGTTAATTTTAAAGTTATTTTTTCATTTTTGAAGTTATTATTTAGGAGTTATTTTTCGTTTTTAAAAGATAATGTATACGCCTACTCAAGAGATTAGCAACATTTTATTTTATTTGTTTATTTATTTTTTTAGTTTTTTTTGTTATTTTTTAAAAGTTATTTGTTAATTTTAAAGTTATTTTTTCATTTTTGAAGTTATTATTTAAGAGTTATTTTTCGTTTTTAAAAGATAATATATACGCCTACTCAAGAGATTAGCAACACCACAAAGGACTTTCAGGGGAAAAAAATGAAAAATTACTCTTAGTGATAACGATAACAAGATTTACATGAAAAAATATATCATTATTTTTATTATCCTCCTCAATTTTGTCGCTAAACGGAAAAAAAATGTGGAGAGTATTAGTAAGATCAAAGACTATGATAAGCATAAAACCGATGTCAAGAATAGATATTGAATTATATCATAAATAATACGAATAAAGCTGCAATTTCCTTTTAACCTAATTCTGATCTTTAAAAAAATAATAATAACTTAGAGATGAATGAAAATTAATAAGAATAAAAAAAAAATACTCTTTCATTCACTTGATATTAAGACATTATATTGAATTATATCATAGATAAGACGAATAAAGCTGCGATTTCCTTTTAACCTTATTCTGATCTTAAAAATAATAATAATAATAAATAACTTAGAGATGAATGAGAATGAATAAGAATTTTTAAAAATGTTCTTTCATTCACTTGATATTAAGACAGACAGAGATTCGGGCTGACAATTCAACCGAGACAAACACAGACACATTCCTTCTCCAAACGTGTTCTTAACGTGTTTGAGATGTCAATGATTGCGTCATGGCGAGTCCACTGTCACCTCTGGCTGGCAACGTAAATAGAGGGTTTGTTTTTCGTCATGTCATTGGTCGTGTCATGGTTCACTTCACTCTCAATGAGGAAGTTAAAGGGTGAATATTGTTTTGTTTTTTTTCGTTTTGAAAGTTTTATTTTGGGGTCGGAGTATTGTTGTTGTTATTTCTTTTCTTTATTTGGTTTTGTTATTATGTTTATTATTCGTAAACACATATGAACACATGTTTCAAATAAATACACACATGTACGTACTCATAAACGCGCGCGCGCGCACACACACACACACACACACACACACACACACACACACACACACACACACACACACACACACACACACACACACACACACACACACACACACAGAAATTGATAAACAGACAAATAGAAAAACAGATACATTCAACACTAATCATAATAAATCGTCCTTCCCTCCTACAACAACACCACCCCCACCTTCCCCCCCCCTCCCCCTTCCCCCGAAACACGCAGTCCGCACACCAAAGTCCACCAAAGTGCGTTGTCCTGGTCTTCCCCCTCCCTTCTCCCTCCCCTTCCCCCTCCCTCCCCCTCCCTCCGCCACGAGTCCTTAGCCCCGTTAGGTCGTCGAGCGAAGCCACAGCAGATGGCGGTGTTGGGGGGCGTCTGTGGTGCGCCGTGGCCCTCGGTCGCCTTGTCATATGCTGTGCGTGCTCTGAGTATGCTCCGGACGGCGGCTGGTATGCTCGTATGCGGCGTTCGGTGGTCGTGGTCTGCGTTGGTCGTTCTGGGCTTGGGCTTCCTCTTTTTTTGTTCAGTCGTTCGTTCGTTCGTTTGTTATTTTATTTATATTATGTTCAACTTTATTTTATTTTATTTTGTTTTATTTTATTTTTATTATTATTATGTTATTATTATTATTATTATTATTATTATTATTATTATTGTTATTGTTATTGTTATTATTATTATTATTATTATTATTATTATTGTTATTATTATTATTGTTATTATTATTATTGTTATTATTATTATTATTATTATTATTATTATATTATTATTATTATTATTATCATTATTATCATTATTGTTATCATTGGGGGGTAGGGGTTTCGAGCTATTTTTTTTTTATTTGTTTTTGTTTTTGTTTTCTAAAGAGTGATTTTGAGATGCGGAGTGAGTGGGTTCTGTTTAATATGATGCGTTTGTTTTTGTTTATTTGTGTTTGCCCAGGCTCTCGGATTCTCCTCGAACGTTTCTTGCAACGTTCAAGGTCGAACGTTTATTAAGATATCTTACGGCGAATTATAAATAATGATTGTATCATATCCAAAGAAGTTAATTAATTGTTCAATATATCTAATTGCCTCGTTTTTTACTTTGTCATTAACTAGAACATCATTTAAGAAGAGATGCGAATGACAAATCAATTACAATCGAATTTATTGACAGCAAGAGTGGCTTTGTATCCAACAGAATTGCATACCATGTTGCAAGATGTGAATGAATGATGCAATACACGAATTAGTAATCCGAACAATGACCTAATGATTTGCGAATTGATATTGAAGATGGTGATTGTGATAAAAAAATGATACAGTGATCATTACATTTTTTTTAAAGGATGATATGAACTTTTGTAATTTAAAAAATGTATCCTTACATATTTATTAATATATTTACGTGGATGTACATATGTAGGTACGTACACACAGATACACAAACATATATAAACGTGATTAAATGTATATTAGTGTATTCTGTGTATGTGTTCTTGCATGTACGAATTCACAGAGAAGAAAACGCACACAGGAGATGGATATTTCTGTACATACCA